ATAAGCAAAAGAAAGTTTTCATAGTTAAATCACGATGACCCAAAGTGCATTCAGTAGTTGGAATTACGAATGAGTTGCTCTGCTTGTCTAACACAAACCGTGCCGAACATATTCTTTAATTTTGGCGAGAAACATTTAAGTTCTTACCTAATTTTTGGGTAAAAAAGCAACGGGTTTCCTGAAAATATTTATTTCTATTCTCTTTTCTGATTGGTAATTAAGTAGATTTTGAATGTGTCAAACCAAAAACAAATCTCTTTTATTGGTTTGAATCCCCCTCACTCAGTGAAAGGAAAAAATTATCGATTAAATTATAATTATAATCGTACTTTTAGCAAAATTATAATTAATTATAAGCGCCAATTGTAGATGTTTAAACGATTCATAATCCATTATAATGATAAAAATTTTGACATTTGAAACAATTATAATCAATTATAATTGATTATATTTTTTCTGAAAATCTCTTGTTTCCTCTTATAATCTCTTATAATCTATTATAATCTATTTCAATAGGTAATAATCCGTTTTACTATCAAAACATTATTTCACAAGAAAGATCAATAATGGATCACAATTTAGCTTTTCTGCATGAAAACACAGTAAAAATCAGTAAAAAGTAAGAATCAGTAAACCAGGGGCAAATCTAGGATTTTCGCGAGATGGGGTCTCTTAAACCCTATAAAGCCTGACTAGATTGATTCTAAGCTCCCCCAAGGCATTGAAAAGACCCTGTTTTGATCATTTTTTATGCGCCGCAGGCAAAATTTTGAAAACAAAACGGGCCAAAATTTTCAGTTCGGTAACCAACTGAAAAGCACACAAAACAAAACGAAAATAAAACGAAATGAAGCGATTACGTTTCTTGAATAATAATGGATTTCAATCCATTATAATGGATTATAATACAATAAAATTTGTGAACCAATGATCTATTATAATCAATTGTAATGATTTTTATTGCTTCGAAAAATAGTAACAAAATAATCCATTTTTAATCGATTATAATCAATTCTCTTTAAGTTTTTTGCGGGTAGCTCCCAACCAATTTGATCCATTGGCTATTAGATTGTGCGTGGGGAGGGGGGTGGGGGTAGGCTTGTATAATGGGGTGTGGTGGGTGTTGTCGTCGAAGGAAAATTGAGGGTGAAAATTGGCAAAGTGGTGTGCACATGGATTACCATGTTCGTTAGGGTATTGGTTTCGCAGGTTTGCAACAAAAAGAATCAATATTCATGGATTTTATGACCAAAAAAAATCTATTATATTTCAATAAAAAATGGTTTATAATCGGATTATAATAGTTTTTTGAATGTTGAAAATAATCGATTAAAATTCCCTGCAAATTTTTTTTCATAGTTGGATGAGTCATAAAAATAGATTAAATGGTATATTTTTTTGCCAATATAATCCATTAAAATCAATAATTTGCCATGAAAATCTAGCGCGGGAACGCTTTTTTGTGACGAAACAGCTTGTTTCAGTTCAATTTGGGTTGGTTTTCATGTCTCATCAATACCTTCAGAAATTAAAAAATTTCCAACAAAGTCTGGGTAAAAGCCCTCAGCTATACTAGTACCTTAGCGCTGAGTTATATGCAAACAAAGTAGGAAATTGCAATCACAGAGTTGAACACAAGCATTACGAGCTGGGTTGTCAGAAAAGAAAAATAATTTTGACATAAAGGTTTGCTTGTCAAAGAGTTGCATTCAATCATTTTGCTTTCGTTTTCCAAATATTGGCAAGATCAAGAAACGTAATTAATTTTTTTCTTGCGACTGAGTTTAAAAATTCAAAAACAATAGTAAAAATCAAAAAACAACCATTTGAATTACTAGATTACATATATTTTTAAATCTGTCACCCTACGCTCCCAATAGCGCGCTTCATGATTCTAAATTGGTCAAAGTTATGCGAAATTTGAACCTCAATATCTTGATGAAAAAAACCTGACGTCCACAGAAAAAAAATGCTTATCATACAATTTCTTAAATGGCGTCTATGGAAAAAATGCTTATCATACAATTTTTATACAAAACTTCAAAATGGTTTTGAAGAGTTGTTGTTCAGATACTTATTCTACTCGACGCTTTTAAAGCCTTCTGGTCATCAAAAAAGTAATTTTAGTATTTGAATGAAAAAAAAAGTTTATTATACAATTTTCATAGAAAAAAATATATGTAAAAAAATGTTCAAATTCAGTTTTAGATGAGTTTATTTGGAACTAATTTGAGTTTTTGAATATTGAGGGCATTTTGACTGTGGAAATTATGATTTTGCAATTAGTCAAATACTTTATTTATGGAAAAATGTTTGTCATATAATTTCATAGAATGAAAAAAATGTTTATCATACAATTTCATAGTATGGAAGAAACGCTTATCATACTCTTTTCATACAATTTTGGGGATAAGGAGACAGATAAAAAAATCTTAAAATTTAGTTCTAGAGTATAGAAAAAATGCTTGTTATAAAACTTCATAGTATGAAAAAAAAGCTCATTTTGCAATTTTTATATATACACTTTACTCTATGAAATTGTATGAAAGAGTGTTATAAGCATTTTTTTCATTTATGAAAATAGTATGATAAGCATTTTTTGTCAACCCGGGCCACTTGCAAAAGTTGCCGATTAAGGGGAGCTAGAAGTTTTGAAGTCAAAGAAGGGCCTTTACAGTGCTTTAGAAGAGCACGGAAAATCAATTTGCCAACATAACAAAAAAAATGGTCAATAGAATCTTCCGAAGATTTTATGAAAACCTACATCCTAGAAAAACGTATGATCCGCCCTTGATCAGGAATTAAACATTTTTAAAAATTCGAGCACACTTGTAGACTGTGATATCTTAGTCGAAACTTCAACTACTTAACAACAAAAAAAAACAAAAAAAGAAAAATGAAAAAATGGATTGCTTTTAGTTGCTATGGTTGGCATGGGGCCTAGGAAATTAGACGATAAACAAATTAGACGGATGCTACAAAAACGTAATTAGACGAAATATTTATGTTACAGATCTGGCCTTTTAGACTTCACTGCTATGAAAAGGAAAAGGCCAACAATTTTTTTTTAAAGTCAACTTTGACAAATGATAAAAGAACATAAAATGACAATACGTATCGAAACAATTAGTTTAATTGAACATAAAATATCAAATCCGAATATTATAGGAGAGGTTTGGATTTGAATAAATAATGCATGATTGACATGTAAAATTTTTAGCCACTAAAATTTAACTTCTGTCTGCAAACAATTTTTTTTTGCTTTTAGTTGAAACAATTTTGAAACAATTTTGAAAAAATGGATTGCTTTTAGTTGCTATGGTTGGCATGGTGCCTAGGAAATTAGACGTTAAACAAATTAGACGGATGCTACCAAAATGAAATTAGACGAAATGTTTATGTTACAGATCTGGCCTTTTAGACTTCACTGCTATGAAAAGGAAAAGGCCAACAATTTTTCTAAGAGTCAATTTTCACAAATACAAAAAGAACATAAAATTACAATACCTATCAAAACAATTAGTTTAATTGAACATAAAATATCAAATCCGAATATTACAGGAGAGGTTTCGAAATGAATAAATTATGCATGATCGACATGTAAAATTTTTAGCCACTAAAATTTAACTGCTGTCTGCAAACAATTTTTTTTGCGCACGCAGTTTGTCTGCAAATAATTTAAATCTCTCTCACTTTTGTCTATTTTTTCACAGTTGCAGTTTTTCCAAATCATCTGTCTAATTTGCTTATCGTCTAATTTCTCAACCCCCTCCCCGGCTGGCGTAGGTTGCGGAAATTTCAAGAAAAGCTAACGAGTTTAGTCTCATTTAAACTTTAGAATATTGATGAATATTGAGAACGTTGCTGCTGAGAATATTGAAAACAGAAAACAATAGCCGGATTAAACTCACATTAAAACCTTTTTCAGAATATTTTACTGTGTTGTCAATATCTGCACCAAAAAAGCTTAAAGAATCATAGTTTTGAACAATTGCCACGATTCAATTTTTTTTAAAGTTTACAGTTTCAAGTCATGCTGAGGAGTGAAATCATTTATGAAAAACTTTGTGCTGAGATCAAACTTTATTTCAGGAAAAAGGATGGTTTTTAAGGACATAAGAAAAGACATAATAGACTATTTTGATTCTTTTATGTTAAAAGGAAGCAAACAAAAAGAGAAATTATTATGTGAACGAAAATTCTGAAATTTCATTCAACTCATTCAAAACTCAACGAAGCATATCAGCAAAAAACCCTCAGCTTGAACAACGGGAATTCAAGTGTTTGGGTCGTTGGAAGTCCGACAAAAACTAAGCAGACAGCAGTACAGACTAAAATCTTTTTTCATCGAAGAAGAAAACTTATGGCTGTGAAAAGCAAACCCTGGTCAGTTTTGAACCGCAGATCTTTGTTGCCCCATGCGTGCGTGTCACCTCTTTGACAAAAATGCAATTCATTTAAAGTTATATCGAAAAAAACTCGTGAAGCTAAAAACTGATTTACTGCTTATCGGCAAAAATCAAATGATACAATTTAATTTGTAACTCTTATAAAAATTTCAGTTTTATCTTCTGAAAAAGTTCGCTAAGTTAATATCTCGTGCAAGTGTCACTTAATCCATGCTACGTACTTTTCACAGCAGTCATTTTTTCGAAATTTTTTTTTAAAAACCAACTCCCTCCCTACATGGCGCTTGTAACATTTTGGTGCATTTGGCTAAACTAAATAGTAGTTTAAAAAATAAAATGCTGTAACATGATATACTCTACGCTGTATCCAAAAGTTTTGACAAATAACAATAAATCAAGAAATTATAGCCCCTCTTGTTTGACCTCAATTTGCACGAAGAAAAACACATCCGAATACTAAGTTCAAAATCTACATCCGAAAACAAAGCAAAAAACTATCAGAAAAACTAACCTCAAGACAAAACATAAACTAAAACATAAATTGAGATGTAGTTCCAAAACAAATTGAAATGAAGTTTCATTTTTTGGCATTTCATATTAATAGCGCATTTCTTGCCGGCCCAAACTCTTCGCAAATCCAGGGTTTTTCTGGACACAGAACGTGTCTCTTGAAGAAGTTGAAAGTCACAACAGTTTCCAAGTTGTCACTTCTGAGAACGAAGTCGGAATGAGTCACTGGTGCGTTGAGGGGACGAAGAGCGGCTAGTCGATGTGGTGCTCCTATCAGAAAAGGAATAAAGCCGAAACAGGGTAGAATTAAGGCCTTAACCTGTTGTTTAAACTCCAAGAGATATTGGTAATGTCAACAAAAATTTCAAGCGAAAATGAAATAAACATTGCAGGTTGCTATGAAAGTAGTACAGAAAGTTCCGAACAAACTGATAAAACAGACGAGAATTAAAAAAAAAATTTTTTTTTATATGTAATTGGAGAAAAATTCATTGTAATTTTTTTTGCAATTTTGATGTAGAATTTTCCATTATTTCTTCAAAATTTTATGTTTGCAAATGAAAATCTAAATTCATTGCTAATAAGATTCTAAATATAAAAATTTGTGTTGGCTTTTGCCGTACAACCATGAAACTAAATGGTAAGTTTCTATGTAGTCGTATGTCGTCTCTCGTTCGAGGTCTTCTTCCAATACCGGGTAGTTCTAGTATTGTGCGGAATATTGGCTCTGATCTATTGAGTCGTAGAGACATTTCAATTAAGTTATTATCGTGTAACATTTTGAAAATGTTTTGTCTAATTTCTAATCTAAATTTGGTTAATTCTAAGCTATTAAGGTTTTATTCGAGACTTATGGTCGCACCAGATGAGTTAGATCCTTTTGGTTAACTCATAGAGTAATTTCGGATAGGGTACACCGTCTGCTCGTCACGCTATCTTATTTTCGGCCGGATAGATTCGTGCAATTTCTTAGTCTAATACCGATCCTAATCTTACTCTTATATCTACTAGTCTCAGGGAGTTTAACTAGTCTCTGCTAGGCTCAATAGATCTAGAGTATACTGGCTTATTGCGGCAGCTGAAGTTCTCTTGGAGAGGCAACTAATTTCTAAGTTAAATTCAAATCTCTCTGGTGCTGAAAATACAACTATTTTCAGCACTTACAAATAAGTGGGTTGTTAGTTGGATGGATTATGATTGGTTAATATTAAATTATTACAGTGGTAAAATATCTAATTTATCCAATAATAAAATGTAGTTTAGATCAGGTTCCACCAGGTTCCACAATGGCTTTTTTCTACTAAAAGTAAGTCTAGCTAATCGAATATCGCAGCAAGTTTAGACGTAAGTTTAGCAAGTAATCGATTTTGAGTCCATTATAACCGATAATTTTCAAAAACAAAAGTCCATTATAGTTCATTATGATCGATTATATTTCATTTTAGTTTTCAAAATAACCGATTTTATATTACAAACTCAGCTATCTGCAAAGCTAAAAAACGATCGAACTTGTTCATTTTCACGTTCAGCCTCCCCCCCTTCTCACCTCGATCCAACAAAATAAACCCACCGCTGTTCGGCGCTAGCCTGTTATAGACCTAAATTACCTTGTTTTTTTTTCGAGTTAAATAATGTGGTCGGAACATTTTAGTCAGTTTTCGCTGCTAGTTTATTCTAATTTTGTACCTCCAATCACCCATGAGTCTTCAGCTACGTACTTCAAGTCGCCCAATCCAAAACCAACAGCGGTGACTACATTCCCATGGCATTCGTCGTACCTAGCCTGCAAAAACTTTTACAATTACCAAGTAGCCGGCTGAGTCGATGTTTATTCAAGTTTCGTTCGACGAATAATTAAATACGAATATAACAAGACTGCTCGTATCAGGGCGAAGCCCTGAATGTTTTTACTGCCTTTTAAGGTTTATGGAGCAGCAATAACATGAGCAACATTTAAAAAAATTAAATGAAATAAAATAAAATTAAAAAAAAATCTTAAAATTTGAAATTTTTTCTATGAAAATCATCCCCTCACACGCCATATAAAGTACAAAACAATATATTTTTCACTAGTAATAAACCCATTATGGCAATTGAGCTTCTTTCAATAACTTGGAACGATTTTTAAGACGGATTAAATCTCCGCTTACGCGTTAATAGCGCGAATTATATCGCGCGTTAATTGTCCCAAATTGGCAAAACAGGCAATCTTTAAGCCCCCATAACTTTACGAAAAATGATCACAGGTGAATTATCTTTTCAATTTTAAGCTCAGGACAACAATACCTTTTGAATGATATAAAAATATACCAAAAATGGCTAGTTAAAAAGTCGAAATTTGTCTGGAGAAAAAAACCCACCCCGAGCACAAATATTAAATATTCCGTTACTTTCGTATCGAAAGTCGGAACAATAAATAAATATACTTGTCAAAAAGAATCAATTCACATCGAAAGACTGAGCGTACTTCAAAGAGATTTCAATTAAATCTAAACACTTCAAGACTAGCTTGAAAAAAATTTACCTAATGTTCCCTTTCCCTATGGTATCTATTAAAAAAAATCGCCCCTTCCCGCATCTAAACTAAAATATCAGCATATTTCGAAAAGTTTCTGTTTTTGAAAATGTATTAGTTTTTTGCTATTTCAACTGTTTCTAGTTTTTTAAAGTTTCAAATTTGTTGCGTTCTGATTGCCTGTAAAATCTACTGATTATGTCAACAAATTATGTCAATTTTTGCCCATTTTTCAAAGGTGAAGGGGGTCGTCAACAAATGATGAAAAGGTCATAAGTGAGTTTGTACTATATGTTCATATTTTTTAATTCATTTTAGGGTTAATCAATTGATTATATTATCAAACTGTCACAAATTTTTGTATCATCTGAAAGATATTCCGACGTTAAAATTTAAAGTGCTATTTTAACCCCGATTATTTTTATGTAAATGACTAATATTAATAATCAAATGACCTATACTTTTTTCTTTCATCAGCGCGTAGCAAAAACGGCAAAATAATCAAAACCAGAAGTCGTATTGAAATTGAGTTGAAGCACCCAAACAATCCAATTCTACAAAATTTGTGTAAATCGAAACGAAACTTATAATTTTTTGTACTAACCTTGAGCTTGCGGGAAAGATTTTTTTTTGAAAAATTGTGATTGAACTTTCAAATTGTTCATCATTTTTATTGTTATCGAAATACACAACTAAATTTCTTTGAAACACGCTTAAAACCTTGGGTCATTCAGGTTTTTGTTTTTAACACAGGTAATCATTTTTTTTTACCAAATAAATGTTACAAACTACTGCCAGCTTAATAATAAAGGCAGACAACAAACGATTTTCCAGGTTGATTTTATTGCTTATCTATTCGAGAAAAAAATGTATTTGTAATTGACCCTGTTTTCATATGAATCTTCAGAGTCTTAAGCTTGCTCAATATGAAATGTGGATAAACTTTTCAGATTTTAAAAACTGGTTTCAAAAAAACGAATAAAAAAAGCTCTACAAAACTTGAAACAATGTAGAGGGTAAGCCATAATGCAAAAGAAATTGGGGAAAAGCTTTCAAAATTTATCATAGTTTTTTTAATATTACACTGAAACCTTTTCATTAAAAATATTTTTACTCTGTTGTTAGTGATAAATCATATTCACGACCTTTCAGTCGTGATTCAAACGACTTTTAAAAATTTCAAAACATTTCTCAGCATCGAGAAAAAAATATAAAATTTTTGACTTTCAGTCTAAATTCCAGCAAAAAAGTGAGCGAACATACTTACATTGCTTATTTATGCGTTTTTGGCGCCATTTCTGAAAATTCTCAAAATTTTTAGCAGAAAATCAATTTAATTAATTTTTTCAATGAATTTTTAATCACTAATCATTTTTCAACAAAAGTAATTTTCAAGTTGCTTTTTTCACGACGATTGTCAAAAATGGCTTAGCCGGGTTGACCAAAAATGCTTATCATACAATTCTCATAAATGATAAATTTCTTTTCATACAGTTTCATACAATTCCATACTTACAGAAAACTAAATGAAAACTCTATAATAAGCATTTTCCCATAAATGGAAATTGTATGATAGTTGTTTTCTCCAAAAACCAAAAAGTTGTTTTTTGTTCGTAAATTTATTTTCTGAAAAACTTATTTTCAAACATGAAGTGACAAACATTTATTTTTGGCAAAATTTTTCAGAAAAGACAAACATTTAAAATGTTTGTCAGAAGTGACAAACATTTATTTTTGGCAAACTTTTTCAGTCATGATTATTTTAAATTTTTGAATTTTCAGAAAATCAGACATACATAAACACGCCATACAAAAGAAATAGGAATTTTCAGCGTTTTTGAAAAAAAAATTCAGGTGAAAAGAAAAAAAAACTATATTATCGTATCCAGGACTACGTTATGCACACAAAAAGTTAAATTTTGCATGCAAAAAAAAAAAATTTCGGAATATGTTTGTTTGCGTACAAAATTCGATTTGCGGTTGAAAAAAAACAAAAAAAATGTTGGGGCAAATTTTCAAAATTACTTGAAAATTTTTTTTGTCGCCATCAAAAAATGCCAGTCATACAATTTCCATATATGGAAATAGAATGGAAAGCATTTTGTTCAAAAAATATTTTAAATCAGTTTTTTTGTCACCAGTCTGTTCAACTGTTCTCAAAAAGCCGCAGAAATGGTTTAACTTTTTCTATTGTTTTTCGAAAATGTATGAAAATTGTATGACAAGCCTTTTCTCCATACACGTGATGTATGGATTTGTATGATAATGATTTTTGTTGTATGGAATTGTATGATAAGCATTTTCGGTGTATGGAGGTCAACCCGGGTAGTTATTCTATGCTACTTGCACAGTAACAGACTATCCTTGTTTCATTTAAAGTCGGTTAAGGAGCAAAAATTTAAATCGGTATAAAATATGTTTATCTGGATATTGAGAAAGTGATCTCGAAATTTTTAAAGGTTGATAAAATTAAAAACACTTGATTATGATGTATCAATCAACCCATCTGACATTTGTTTGTGTTTCTGATTTTTAGTAGAATTAAACAAACCGGCATGCGAAATTCTTCACAAGTTTAAGAGGTCGAAACAAAAAAACTGTTATCGCATTAGCCTACAAGAGTTCAGCACGATGATATATTATAAGCTCCGCTTGTCTCCCTTTCAAATCGATATTGAAAATTTCTCAGCATCGAGAAAACCTGGTTTGAAAAATTTGCTCTTCAACGATTTTTTTGATCTCACAATTTTTCGCCATTTACAAAAATTAAAATATACAAAATGCACAAAAACCAAAAAAATTTCTCGTTTAAAAAATCAATTATGGTTCTCTCACATAAATTTAATAATAATGTATAATAATTGATTATAATAGAAAACTTTTCTTTAAAAAATTGTCAGTTTAATCTATTATTGTTGCAAACTTAGACAACGATGTCGATTAGGTACCATTTTTTCACAGAAACTAGGCAAATTGTTTTTTTATGATTTTTATTTGGAAGTTGTCGCTATAATCTATTATTGTTAAACAATTAGACCACGGTATCGATTAGATTGCTTTTTTCCAAAGGCAAATTGGTTTCTTATAGTTTTTAATCTAACAGTAAAATTTTTTATCAAACAGTAAAACTTTCATCTTACCCTGATGTAGTTGAGCTTTTTATCCTTAGTGGCGAAGTCGCTCACTCTTCCGAAATACTCGAAGGGAGACAGTCCACTGCCTCTTCCGTACTCGGCGTATAATCTGGTCTGAAAATCACAACAGGCACCTGCAAACAAAAAAAAACTTTTTATCATTTTTTGAATCCACGTTTATTGTTCTTGCCATTTGAAATCGGAGAGCTTTGATAAAATTCATAATGAGTGTTAACAGGTATCAAATCAAGCAATGAGTTTTTAGTTGAAAAGACCATAATTTTGAAAACAGCAGTGGCTAATGACGATTTCCCCACCTAAAATTATTTCTAAACGTTTCCTCCCTCATAAAGTTCACTTACTCACCTAACAGAGATATGATTTCATGAGTTTAATTTTTGACTGAAGGGCCAAAAGCGAAAATTTTCAGTGAGAAAGCAGAAAACTCTAGAATAAAATGATAACTTTTGGATGAATTTGATCAAGTGAAAATGTACTTCAAGTAGATAAAACTTGAAACTCAGAAGGAAAACTTACTGTGGTCCTCTTCGTCCAATGAGAACCAATTGAAATTGCGGTAATTTCGACCAATCAGGAGCTCGAATACTTGATCATACCTCTGGTCCCATTTCTGAACTTCCATTCCATTGGAGTCAATTAAGTAACCATACATGCAGAACATAGTCCTAGAAAAAGTCACAATCTCGGTCCACCTTTTAAATTTTTCCTGCAATGGATCCTTTCAAATTCGTACGTTTTTCCAAAAATTACATCCGTAGCAAACAAAAAGACATTAAACTTTAAATTAATCTACTGAAATTTTTTCAAAATACAGTTTGGAGGACTCTCTAACTCTTAAATTAATTTTGATCCTTTTGTGATGTTGTAAAAAATAAATTTTGAAAAACAGTTAGTAGTAAAAATTGTTTCAAAGCTTCATTGAAGTGAAAAGCTGGTTCCTACCGGCAACGTTTCATATATTAAATGACATATATTTTTGTGGTACACATACTTTGTGGTGATTTCGAGAAAATTTGGCTCGATTTTTCAAATTATGTCCCGGATCGAAACGTTCACTTTATTTCTCGTCTTTCAAAGTCAAGCAGAAGGTCAGTGTGTGACTTAATCATACTTTGAAACGGTCGAAACCTAAATTGAACAGAGCGAGAATTGAATTTTGTCAGATTTTTTGCTGACAAAACTGTGAAAAAGATGCAACTGTAAAGCAATCTACTATATACACAATTGTTCCGACCATTGAAAATGGGGAAGAACTTTGCCTCCGGGTTTTAGTTTTTTTTCTGTTGTTATTTTAATTGTTTCGTTCGACGCAAAACCAGGAACCAAAAACAATTACTGAAATGATTCGAGTAATAAAACAAGAAAAAAACACTTAAATTTTGTCCCAATTTAGAAAAATCGGTTTGAATTTAGTCTAGTTTCAAGCGAGTAAACAATCAAGAAAAAATTGTTATATAAAAATTGGTCATTAAGGTTTAAAAAAATTGGTTTTATTAAGGAAAAAGTACTTTTGGGAGCTCCATTTAACGCTTCCTTGATAATTGAGGTTTTAAAAATTTATATCATTGAGCACATAGATAGAAATTTTTTTTAGAAAAACAAATTTAAAAAAAAAGGTTTTCATCTTTTTGTTTTTTATTAAATTTTCAAAGACAGCTAATGAAAGTAATGCTTAATTAACTATTATTCTGCTCGTTTGCGTGTACTCTTAATCACACAACACACAAAGAAGAAAAAGATCATAATTTAAACAAAATAAAAACTTATGCATTTTATTTACGAATGTGGTCGCCAAATTCTGTCCTACTTGTACAAAAACCACCTATCCAAGTTTGAGTATGCAATTATATAGAACAGTAAGTGCATTTGCTGAGAATAATTTAGGAGCTTGTCTGATTTTCAAACTATGTCTAAATAACAACAATATAATCTAGTTCCCGCATCCAGTTTTAAGCGTTAATAATCGATGATATTATGATTTTAGTGCCAGTCTTACTAAAACTGAGAAAAAATTGATTTTGATCAATCAGTAATCGATTATAGTTTCTCGTTTTGAAATCCAATCATGATTAATCATGATGCATTTTAACCGACTATAATCAATTAGTGATTCATCTATTTTTTTATACAAATTTAATAGATTCTAATCAATAATAATAGATCATTTTTATCCCAGTTTCTAATTCATATGTCGTGCACACGGAATCCTTTATAATCGATAATAATTGATTACAATCTGTTTTACTTAATCATTTTGTCTCCTACCTTGCATTCGAATTGCTTTTATTTTATGTTTTTCGTAGACGTTGGCTTGTGTGAAAATGAGAGAAATGCTTTAAACGTTTTAAAGTCAATTCAGACTTTTATTTTTTTAAAATTTGTTTATTTCCCATTGAAATTGGTTCATGATGCGCATCATATTTTTCTCAACAATCAAAACATCAGCAAGTTGCTTAAGTTTCATGATTTACTCGGAAGACTTATTTTTCACATACCGTGAGTACTTTTCAACTAATACGAAAGGATCTCTATGAAAATTTTGTTTCGTGGTAAAACTTTGTGTATAGATGAACTAAAGTGTAACACGACATCTCGCTTTTAGAGAGTTTGTTATTGACAGAAAAATATTAACCCATGAGATATAATTAAATTGTACTTTTGTTGTTACCAAATTTTGACATAATAAGATAATATAATGGATTATAATCGATTATAATTGCATTCAAGTGTTTTTTGTATGAGCTGTAATCAATTATAATTGATTATAATATATTATAATCTCTTGAAAAATATCACAATTATAATGTATTATAAATACTTTACACGCCTAATTTTGATAAATATAATCAAATATAGTTGTAAAAAAAAACATCATAATTATTTGTTATAATCGATTGCTTACGCCCAAAATTGAATGCGGGTTATATATTCCATTACGCAACTCAGCTTAAACTATCTCAGATTAACATGCTAAGAAAATTGAAAAAGAGCTTGAGTGGAGTGTCAACGAATATATACGTTATCATATTTAAACGTTGCGCTACATCACCATACTTGCCCATATTCTGCGCATTTTCGGTTCAACCGTTTCCCCTTTGGATCAGGCAGTACAAAAACTAGAGATTCCCAGGCCAGCAAGAGATCCAGGAACAATGAAAACACTGAAATTACAGACATTTTTTAACAATACATGAAAAAGAAATTGAAGTGAGATAAAAAAATGTTCTTGTTTGATGAATGAAAAAAACCTCTGTCAAGTCGAAAAAACAGCAAGAAGTTTTTTTGAAGATATTAGAGGATATTAGAGTCCCATTATTATATACCCGGATTGACCAAAAAAGCTATTCCATAAGTATAGAGGAACTCATGAAACGTCTACCATTAAAGATTGTTTTTGTATAGGAAACTTGAACGACTAGAAATTTTTCAGAAACCAATAAACTAATTTCATCAATTTTAAAGTATTCTCAAAAATTCGGGTTGTGTCTGTACCCGAACACAAGTCACTACGATATGGTTTCTCAAAACTAGATGCACCAAGGGTTTAACGGTCTTACATGTACAATACGACCGCATAATAGGCGTCTTACACCAACAATGTAATGAAATTTGCCATCTTCTAAAATTTGACAATTCGGGTACTTTGAGTATTTCAGAAAATTAAACTTTAAAAAAGCAGACATATATTTCCCTGTGTAGTGTATTTTAAGTTTTTTTAAAGACTACATACAAAATTAAAATTTTTCTGAGCGCTTTAAACGCAATATGGCAAGAACTTTATACAGAGGCTGCACTTTGCAAACATCAAAAAAGAAAAAGAGTTATGAAAATTTTCGAAACCAAGCTATGGGCTACATAGGGGCGCAATTTGGTGAATGTAGAGCTCTGGAATCAAGAGACAAGCCACTAAAAATGCTAAAAAGTTGTAAACAAATAATCAAAGTGAACACACAAGAAGACAGAAAGATCAAAGAGAGCAGGCTTTTTGTGGAATTCAAATACAATTCACACAATAAGCAGTTTAGCCTCGCAATGAGAAATATAGTGCAAATTAGAAGCAACTCTGGAGATTAAGGAATGGGTATTTTGACCAGTAACCCACAGCTGCTGCCAACGTTATCAGCTTCACACTGACATATTACCTCGCATCGTTGACAGAGCTTTAACAAAGTAGATAGCCAAATTGGGTTACTTTTAGACAAATATAATGAAGACAAAAAATGCAAAGCAATTACGCAGAATTTTTATGGTTAAATTTATTTGTGACTTTCCGCCCCAAAATTTTACCCCAAAACCGACCATTTTGGCTTTTCTTAACAATCGAAAACTACACGAGAGCTACTGGATTAGTTGCTGACAAAACTATATCAAAGTGAGACTTCCAAATAGTCAAGCCAACTTCAAAAAGGATGTAACTTCTAAAAAATCATTTTTTAATGTAGCAAAAATGATAATTTTGGTCTATTAAACAAAAATGAATTTAATTATACAAAACAAAGAATAATGAAAACTTCTTACACTTTTGACCAAAAGAAGAGGCTCATTTTGATATAGTTTTCTCAGAAATTGAGATAATTTTTGATTGAATAAAAAAATATTGAGGTATTACAGTTCTGAGGTAATTTTTGATTGAATAAAGAAACTATTGGTTTTGGGGTAAAATATTTTGAGTCGAATTTTGGCAAGAAAAGGTTGATTATAACAGTTCTGCTAAAATTCGAAGTAAATTTTTTCTTCTTGTTTTTTGTGGAAAATTAACCCAACTTAAGAAAAACGCTTTTTAAAATTTTTTGTCCGGAATACTTAAATCAGAAAGGTAGAAACACCAAACTGTTGATGATTTAGCGTTTTGTTTCTTTTTAATAGTTCATAAATCATCAATGTAAAGTATTCAAGTGTGGGATGCTAAGTTTCAATCTGGTTATGCTACTATTATAGGTAACTGAGCTACCTTATCATTTGAAAAATACTTTTAAAAAACCAAGAATATTTAAAAAGATACCAAAAACACAGGGTGAAACAAATTAAACCAACAGCTGTTTCTAATAAGCATCCATTGCGTACTTTTTGAAGTAATTGCAAAAAAGTTTTCCTCTATGTTTACAGAACTTTGACACAACCGATAAATAGAACAGAAACTGCATACCTGCCAGTTCTTGATTTGCAAAATGGACCCAAAAATCTTGAAGACCGAAAAGCCTGGTTGAACGAAACTTTACACCGATAACAATATACTTGTTAATCGCAGTCGCACTAAATTTTAAAAAAGCGAAAGAACCATTTGCATAATAAACAATTACAATACAAAAGAAACAGGTTCATCCCAACTACCATTTTTTATCTGTTTCCTGAACTCATTCATAATATTTCATTGTTTTTGACTGCCATTTTGGAACAAAATTGCGTAATAATTAAGAAAGATATGAAACAAACTTACTAAAGCATATTAAAACTGTTTTCTGAGAGTTTAGGCCCATTCTTTTGAAGGAAAATAGTAGAAATTTGATTTGAAAATTAAGTTTAGCTTGATGTTGTAATGGCTTCTGGCTAATAACAAAACATTCAAACTCTGGACAAATACTAGACTGGGTTTATGTCATTTAGGATGATATTTATGTTCGATATCAGTTCAAATAAGGTAGCTTTAAAAACAAAGGTTACCGAGAACTAAATTAATTTAAACTTGACTTAAACAAGATCTAATTCACACCTTTCTAGCAGACTAAAAATTTATAAAAGACAATCTTGATTTTTTGTGAGAGACAACTTTAAAACCTCAAAAATTGTTTGCCTGGAGAATCACATCTACTTTGTGCAGTTTTCTTAAAAAGTAGCCCAAAATTCTTCAATGCTATTTGAAGAGGCAAAACGTGCTATCAAATTTAACGAATCTTTCGAGCATTTTTACTATTTCACGGCAATCGGCGACCTGCCTAAAAGAAAAATGTGAATATCATACAAACTCATAAATGGAAAATTTCTTCTCATATATTTCGCATACATTTTCGAAAAAAGTTAGTTCAACAAGCAGTAATAGATTCTGCACACAACAAAAAAACAGTGATTTAAATATTACGTTTTTGTTTTATGGAAAAAATACATGAAAATTGTATGACAACTATTTTTCCAGTAACAAAAACTTTCAAAAATCCAGTAAAAACAGTGTTGCACCTTTGGAAATGAGTTTAACGCGTTTTCTTGTTGAGCAGTTTTTTGGTCAACGCAGGTATGTGCTTTTACGAATAAACTAAACAAAAAATTAACTAGTTATGTCAGACTGAAATGTTTGAAAACATCTGTGTGCACAAAAACAACAAACCGTTTCGGAAAAACAACGAACGATTTCAATCAATTTCCTCTCAAAATTTCATTCATCGCTCCTTGAAACGGAGAAGTAAAGACCGATTCATGTGATGAATTTCTGCAAAACTTCTAAAACTGACTGTGGTTAACATTTGCGTACTAAACTGAAAAAATCTACTGAATAAACATATCAAGAAAAGTGAAAAGAGTGTTAAGTAGATTAAGTAAGTCGAACTTTCGACCAATCAGAAATGCAGCAAGGTTAGAACTATCAATAGAAAGCTTTAGTGCTGATTTACTGCTTTTATTAAGAGGGATGAAGATTCTTTCCATTAATTGAGCAATACTCTCCCTCGTTTTTAGCCAATTGAGCTATTTGCCCCGAGTTAAAACGGCAAAACATTACAAAGGAGTTTTCAAACGCAAGCAGATGGTTGAAGTATATAGAGGTTTCAATGCCGATTAAAGTTTTTTCAAAATTTTTTTCTGTTTTTGCTTTTGGCTGATCATTTTTTGAGGCAAGCAAGCTACCGGGGTCAGTTCAAAGACTTCTATTTATGCTAAAAAAAACCACAGCATCCTAATAAATTTTTTTTTTGCATTTAACAAAAAATTTAACTTAAAATCTAAATAAATTGGTTTCGAATGGTGCAAGGAAAAGTTTTTCGTTGCTTGTTCACTGTTGTCATCCTGTGTTTTTATCTTCAAACCTCTCTTATTCTTCAAAATAATAAGCAAATGGTGTCGAAATTCTAATATCATAGGAGTCAGTTATGCGCGATGAAAGCCCCAGTTAACAGCGTGTGAGTATTTAGAATACCATTCCAATTGTGTAACCGTCCTCAACGCCGAGGGATCGCCATTTGGATCTTGTGCCTCTGATGCAAATGTTGGTTGCTCTTAGTATAGCGAATGAAACTCTACATCTCACCCAGCACATGACATGACTATATCGGCGGTCCCATTTTGATGCCAGACCATCTGCTAGTCGTTTGAGGAAAAACGTGAACTCCGGTGCCAAAACACCATCTATTGAAGTGACAAGTGGAGTGAAAGACATATGCTTTTCTTCACAAGCTGGTCCATACTTATTTTTCGTCTCAATCTCTGCAGTTTTCAATGTATTCATGGGATTGCGGTTTTGGTAAGAGGGAGCGTCAGTGTCTGTAACACGGATGTCGGACGACGCAGCCGACTGTCTATCCCAAACCCCACGAGCTGAAAAATCTGCAATTAGTGCCGGGGTTCCATTTTCTACATCTGGTTCTTTTACGACAGGTTCTCTTTTCACATCCTTCCACAAAATTGAAGCAAGATCGCCCACTGCGTCTCTTATTTCGTTGTGTCGTAGTGTTACCAGTCCGACCTTCTTGCAAGAAAGTGCATGCTTGAAGTCAAAATCTTGTTGACATCCATCGCGTCTCGAGAAAGAACGTTTGAGTGGTTTTCTGTACCTGACACATAGAGCGTCTCTGAACTCTGTGGCTGACAAATCAAAATTATCTTTCAACAAGGGCAGCGAAGTTAGCCACAAGGAACAGTTGTTGTCGATTATTCTCCGGATCGCTCGTTTCTGATCTGCTGGTAAAACTGCAAGCAATTCATCGAGTTCATCTTTGTCCACAGCATTTTGTTTCTCCTCGTGGTTTTTTCTTGCTTCTCTCATCTTTGTTTTGTGTAGAGTTTGGTCGAAATCATCTTGGAGAAGGATCGAACTCACGAGACAGTCGGTTGCTTCACGTGAAGTGGAAAATGCTAGTTCGGCACCTTCTATTGGATTTCGCACACCTAGCCCCCCCCTTTTGACAGGAAGTGAATACAAAACACGATCTGAGTGTGTGCCACTAGAAGTTCCTAGTAAGCTTGGAAAAAAGTTTTCCTCCAACATCTTCTCGAGAGGAGCAAACAACTGCCACGTATCGTTGACTACTCTCTGGACAAAATTCCATTCACATTGCAGTGATCTTGTTAATCCAACTAAAGCAGCTTGAGGTTCTTTTTCTGCCACTTTGGACAACTCGCCAAGACAATCCAACCATTCTTGAACCTTTTTTAAAGTGAAACTAATTTTGCCTTCATCAGAGCCAATAAATCCGCCCAAATATCTTCTACCTTCAACTATTCTGATGCCGAACCTGTCAAACCATTGATGAGCTTTTTCAACAAAGTTCGGGTGAACAACCAAATAACTTTTGCTTGGCTCGGGGTAATAGTCATACTTCGGGCCGTTTTCATCGCCTAATAATGAATGCAATTGCACATTTTTTTCCCAGCGAAACAGGAAAGTCGGTTTAATGCTTTGCGTTAATTTGGCAAAAAATTTTCACTGTGAACCTAAAATTTGAGTTTTCATCTGATTATTTTTTGGTTCTCAAAGTTTGTTGGAGAATCTGGCGTATAGTTTGATACAATTAAAATGTAGTTCAATGATTTTAAATAAAAGTATCATGCTCCTTCTGAGCTACCTCTCTATCTATAGAGAGTGCTTATCTAATCCGATTCTCTATCAGATTCCAAAAGGGGGAGAGAGAATGTTAACTAGATACGATAAACGAAACCAAGTTTTTTCTCAGATACATAAGAAAATTAAACACGTGGCCAAACTGTGCACTGGATAAGAGCGCAATTCGGTGACTGTAGGTCACTGGAATCCAGAGACAAGTCTTTAAACTTGTTCCAAATGTAGGTGGATTCCACTAATAAGCAGTCCGTGGATTCCGCGCTCAGAAACGTGTTGCATAAATTTTATCACCATATTAGTTTTATCGCGGATTCCGCTCACAATTTGCCGATTCCGCTTACAGTTGTGGATTCCGCGACAGCGTGGTTTAACTGTACACATGTATACACGAGTGTTTTTGGAGCATTTTTGAACAATTCGGTGTGTTTTTGCTATTTTTTCGTGGAACCCAAAACAGCAAAGAAGATTAAAGAAAACTAACAATGTTAGGGATTCCGCGTCAAATCTGTTTTCGGTTTGTTGCCGAATCCGCCTACAATTCACAAAATACACAGTTTGGCAATTAAGATGTCAATCAGTTTGTGCTTAATTGGCCCACCAGTAAATCTAGTTGATTATATCTATTTACTTTTGGTGGTATACAAAGCAGCCGAAGTATACAGCAGCTACCCTATAAACCAGCCCAAAACCCGGAAGTGCTGTATAATAATTCTGTAACAGTTGTCTAACAGCTACAATAAAGTGCCGATTCCATTCAAAGGTAATTTTTTTATTTGACCTCCAGGACACAGTGTTTTTGGACAATAGAAAAACATCCGCAAAAAAATTTTACCTACAAAAAATGACTGAATAAAAAACCACCCTAAGCAAAAATATTTCGTATTTACTTCGAAATTCAGTCTGACACTTTAAGAAACCTGACCTTTGACAAGTGTTTTCATGAACTTCATGTTTAGATACAGAAGTGAAGTGGAATTTTCCATCAATTCCAAAACAAAAGAAAGTACGTCAATTGATGAGCAAGTATCACAGAAAGTTGCGACCATAAAAACAAACACAATTTTGTTTGCAAATTAATGTTTTTTTTTTCAATCAGCTATGAGCAAATCTGAACAAAAAAATTACAAAACCCACACATTAGATAGTAAGAGTAGAATTCGCATATTTGATAACGATTTTTATCAAATATATAATCAAAAAACAAATAAAACAAAAATTTGTTTTGCTGTCAAGAAGGCGCTAAAAGAAGCTTCAAATGAAAACTAAAACTTTGTTGCATTTGCGTAAGATAAATTTGCTCTTTCGTTATACTTTCTCGCAATTATACCAATAATCAAAAAGTTTAAAACTGGTTTTTCTTCACACAGCGGAGACTTTTTGGAAAACTTGTGATAGGATTTTACATGAAAAAAAAACTGAAAAACAACTGGAAAAAAAACTGGTAAATAAAATTCTTCCGCCTTCAGTGGTCGGAAAATTAAAAAAAAATCAAGCCAAAAATCAAAAACGGGACAGAAATGAGATATATAGTCAAATAGCCCATAGGATTACTGTGGTGAGGCGAAAATTCGTAACAGGCGACAATTCGTAACGAGCGACATTTCATAACGAGCGGCAATTCGTAACAATATATTGGCAAGTAGAATACGCTTGCTCCGCTTCGCTCCGCTGCGCTTACATCCGGCACGATAGGAATACTGCGCGTGAATCAGTGTTCCCCGCTTAATCTACTGTTACGAATTGTCGTTTTACGAATTGTCGTTTTACGAATTGTCGTTTTTCGAATTGTC